GGGCGCATCTGTGCCAGGCCCGTTGGCAGTTCTGAACTTTCATCTTCAGTTCGCATCCATAGTCTGTTCGACGTTTGTACATCATTTCTTAATTAGTGGCCATCCGAGTGGTCACTTGTTTTGCAGCGGCTATCGTTCGCAAAGGAAAAATACAATCTTTCCAATTTTTCCACTTTTCCATTGCAGAAACTGGGAATGCATAACTTTACAGGCTTTGGACCCTTTAATCCGCTTTTTAACTATTTTCTGTACCTTTCTGGACGAATTTATAATCTCGCACAGCACTAGTGTACCGTATTCCGTCTGGGATGTCATGATGATTTCGGCATACGCTAAGCATCAAGTCAGAAACGCTGTGCCAATAATTAGAGTAGAAAGTTATTAAAGATTGAATTATAAAATTTTGGTGCATGTGCATCGGAAATTGCTGCTGATGTTTGCAACACCCGCATTGATTTCTTTGCAAGGAAATACTGCTCGTTATTACAGAAATGCCTGCAGGATGGCGTTTTTTTTTTTTTGGAAGCCTGACGCTACTACCACCGCTGGTTAAAAGTGAATTACAGTGCTTCAATTATTTCTTGTTTTTCTAGAGATGACTTTACATTAAAAATTTTTGTTCTTTGTTTCATTTGTACTTTATCAAATCTGCACAAAAGTATGAATTTGAAGACCCATATGTCGTCATGGCGCAGAACGCCAAGGGTTCAACTCCATCCACTTCATTTAGCCAGTCTCTCTACAATTTGCTCATTTGTTTCAATAGTAAATCGGTACCGGCATTTGTCAGGTCATCAAAATCGCCATCATCTGGCTTTTAAAAAACCCCGAAAGAGCGAGTGATCATTATTCACATGGGCGAGTTGTTTTTTCCGTGTTACGATCAGGCTATCTTCAGGTTCTTCAGCCTGTCACAGATAGTGAGTTAATAGCAACACGCACTAGTTAGCTAATGTGATCTTGCATTTTGAGCAGTTCTTAGGATCGATGTTAAAAGATACCTACTATTCTCCGCTGTAATTTCGCATATCCATACTTGTGTAGGTTGCATACCTGCAAGACGAGTCTAAATTTGCCAAGCCAAAAAAAAAAATGCATCGGCAGAAAAAATTCTCTGCAAATTCCAGCGTTCAATTTTATTTGATTCATGGGTTGAAAAATTCCCCTCTCACATATCTTTATACACAAAATCTAGGTGCATTGAGAAGCTCAGTTTGAATTTCCAGAGTTGTACACTGAAAACTGAAATTTAAGTTTTCCGCCTTGTTCGATTCCCGAGCCAGAATATTTCCTGCATGAAATTTCAGGTGTACACACTTGGGAACTAAGCGAGCGTGGAAAAAGCTGT